GGGACAAAGAAAGTAATACAATAATACAATACAGTAATCTGACTGCTCCCTAGAATGTATAACATTTATTTTTGTTCTACTTTAAAAACACTTTAAATCATAACTCCAATATACTAACATTATTTTTTTTTTTTTTATGTGCTCTTATTTTTTGTCTTCTACAATGAGGAAGGGCACATTTTTTTTTACTTTCTTTATACAAAAGCTTCATACATCAGATAATCCAGTATGTGTGTTGGTTAGGATACATCGGTTCAAGTACGGTCAACACATTACATACACGTTTGTGTTGCTCCTCCTAACACCACTAATCAAAGAACAACGGGTATAGAGGTTATTTTTGGAACCCTGGTCACTGCTGCATGATGTAATTTAAAGGTTATTAAAGAACAGTAAGTAGTGAGGAATAAGTGGGGAAGCAAAAAAAAAAGAGTAGGGAAAGACACCTCTCCTCTACAAACCCTTGTGCCTGATCATATAGCCCACATCTGGGAGTATGTAGCAATCATTCTTCAGAGTCAAACCTAAAGGCTTTGTATTCCTGGGTAGTTGAGAACTCATTCTAGAAGCACTACGTTTTTCAATGTTTGTTATGGGTTCCCCAGATGTTATCAGATGAGATAAGGTCCACTATGTGTCTCATTTATGATTTTGCTTATCCACATTGGAATGGATGGGCCCCAGGTTGTTTCCACCAATCTGGAATGCAGTACCTGGCAACATTAATCAAGGGAGAATGGATTTTTTATAAGGCTTCCTATGGATATTGTTATGGAGTAATAAAAAAGGCCAAGTCCTGGGGCAGTGTGAAGTCTGTAAATGTTTAGAAAATACAATATACTTGTAAGCAGGTTGAAACTGCTTAGTGAGTTAGGATCTGGCCCAGGTTGGGTTGGGAAGGGGTTAACATCATTGTTCCTGTTGCACAGGCTTTTTGGAGCGTCAGCTGGCCCACCTGTGGAAGGCTGAGGTTCAAGGGCCCATGCGAGTCCCTGTACATTCCAGTGCTGTGCTACTGCTAGGGACACAGGGCTAACCAAGCATCCCCATGGGACTTGTCACCCCCTACAACCATCCCCCTTTCTTTCCTATATTGGTCTTCCATAGTTTACAGCCAGGGGCGAACTGACAACTCATGGAGCCCCCGGGCAATAGGGGATCATGGGGCCCCTGTGTCCTTGCCCACACCCAAAAAAGCCTATGAAAAAGCCAATGAAAGGTACCAGGAGCATCTCATGGAGCCCCCTACTGACCCCGGGCCCTCGGGCAGTGCCCGAGTGCTCGAATGGTCAGTCCACCCCTGTTCACAGCTTTAATTGAAATAGCACAGTAAAAGGTACATAATCTTTTTGTTGGCTTTCTCTGTTTGTCTTTTCAGGTCCTGGGATGTCTCCCTTCCCCCTCTCACATCCTGGTCACTGATAAGAAGGCATGAAGACAGCTATTGCCAGAAGATCATATCTGCTTTTATCCTGGGCAAAAAAAAGGAATACTTAGAAGCTAAATTTTAGAGTAAATCAAGCAACCAATGGTGACAAAGTGTTTTCCTTTATAGATGCCAACATCTGTGGTCTGGTACAACAACCTGAATCTTCAATCAAGCTGTCATCTTCCTCCTTTAATGTGGTTCTAACTTTATTGGGGTAATGTCTCCCCACACACTTTATGGCGATTTGTTACGCTTGAGTCCTAAAAAACTGAGCGGGTGTGGGTGAACAGTGTTTATGGTGATATCTGGGAGTTGGTACAGATATTGGGGACGCTGGAGTCCTGAAAGACTGAGCAGGTAGTTCGGTGAAAGTTTTAATGGTGGTATTGGTCTGTGTTCAGTGTTAACGATATGGTAAAAGTAAAGGTTCAAGGTTATTTCATATTCTGATTTAAAATCCAGATAAAGAGGCCACGGCCATAATTTTCCACACTTCAGTTTCCTAGTTTTATTTACTATCATGGTTGGTCAGATGGTTAGGGTGTGGGTGTAATCAGGGTAGTTTGTGGGTTTATACAGTCTCGTGTTCCAGCTCCAGGAGAATTCCCTGCCATTTTACCACTATTCCAAGATACTACCATCTATGGACTTTGCCGCCATTTATGGAATGTGCCACCACCTATGAACTCCATCACAATGAAGTACCACCTGTATAAGGTAAGTCTGGGACATCTATTAGTTAGTTAGGCTTAGTGAAGAAACCGCTGCACTCATCTCTAAGCAAGGAAACTGCCTGGTCCCGGGTTTTGGTGAGCTCGTCTCTGGCAAAGGTATCTCTAGTGCATGGGCATGGTAAGCCCCAGCCACAACATCTCGTAATCATGGCATTTTCTAGATTAAAGCCAAACATAAACTTTGTCCCAGTAGAATTAAAAGCAATATACAAATGAAAAGATATGAGAGGAATACAAATGGAGTATCACAGCATACCCTGCTGATTGCTGAATGATCACACTTTCATATAAAATGCCACATATGCCAATAGAGTGGTCACCAGCTAAAATACCACTCCACGTTCAACCCTTCAATGTGCTTCGATCCCTCACCTTCAGTCATTCCGCACAAATTTTACAGTTCAGTCTCTGATTTTTGTGATGTTCTCTTGTAGACCTACAAAGAATGAAAGCGCAAGTAACAGTACCGTTTTTATGCTTAAAGCCTATCTAAACCCAAAAGTAAAAAATTTATATTTTGCAGCTTACAAGTTTTTAAAGCAGAACTAAACCTTCCTATCCTTTACAGCCAAGGAAGCTGCCATCTTGTTTGAGCCGCATTTGCTATGGGTCAGTAATGACACCAGCCATTTGATGGCATGACAGTTCGGTCGAGAGAACAAGCACTTGACAGTTATCAATCACAGCATGCCTTGAATGTAACTGTTGTAGAAAACTGTTAAATCAATGGGTATAGTTCCTCTTTAAATTTGGTGGCCGAAATATTCAAATTAACGCATGGGGTGATGAATATGAGCACAGTTGAGATGAATTATAAATGTATGGCGAGATGGTATATTACACCGTGTAAGGCACATAAACAAAAAGTAGATGTTTCACCATTATGTTGGAGAGGTTGTGGGGAAAAGGGAACAATGGGACACATATGTTGGGATTGCCCGATAATACAGGACTATTGGAAGGGAATAATACAACTCATTCAGGAAAAATGGGGGATTACGGTCCAGAGAGATCCATGGATGTGTTTGTTTTATAAATCAGAGCCTTTACTAAACTTGTTTAGGAATAGGGTACTGTATCATTTAGTCAGTGCAGCTAAGGGTTTGATCCCCAAATTTTGGCAAGTTCCAGAGCCAACAGTAAAAGATTGGATAAACAGAGTGGAAAAAATTAAAACATAAAATAGTAAAAGTGAGCGCTAAAACCTAAAGCAGCTGAACACTAAAAAGGTAAACCATATGCCTTCAGTAAAATCAAATAGAAAGGTAGTGCAGCGCTAAAAACAATTTAAAAAGAAACAAGTCCAAAAAATGCAATGTGTAAACGAATAGTGTAAACGCACATCAATATTGGGTGCGTTCTAATATTAAAAAATTCACACATCAGTTATAGGTGCGTCTAAGACTTACTAATGCAAAAATAATGTGTATAGTCAGATAGTAATATGCATAATACATATATAAATATAGATGCATAATAATCTTGAAATGTCCCCAACAAAGAAAGAAAATTCTGATCTCCAGATAACTCAATTAAGTCCCAGTGTGCATAAAACCTCAGGTGCACGTGCCGATAAAAGTATGAAATGCGCACTCACCAGATGCGTTGTATCAAATATTGTTGATCAGCCATGGGTCCCTTCTAAGGGTAGTCCGGGATGTAGCCTGGAGGTTGATGGCCTTTCTCTAGAGACAGGATTGGAGTAGCCAGTACAGGTAGTTTGGCATCTTCCAGGTGCTATGACATTCGCTGGGGATCGCTAGGGGATTTAGGTGCAGAGCGAAAGAATAGGGATAATCCCATAGTGTAGTATGATCCAACGGCTTGAAGTCAACGGCTTGCAGGGGCTCCTCCTTGACGCGTTTCGTACTAAATGTACTTTGTCAAAAGGGGTATGCCACAGTGGAAAACATCTATAGGATGGAGGAGTTATATCATATTGAGGTGGATAAATTAGACAAATTTAGGAAAACATGGAGTAGTTGGTTAAATTTTAAGACATCTAAAAAATATCTGGAATTAGTTGTAGTCTAGGTTGAATACATCAATGGAAGTCTAACGGAGATCCCGAGAGAAAGAAAGGATGTAGGAAGGAGGGGTATAGATATGGACAGAGAATCATGAGGGAGGATAAAACGGAAGTAAGAGGACGTGGACAGGGGTATGAGGAGGGGGGGTAGAAGGGTGGGGTAGGGGAAAATGTGTTGCAAAGGGAACTTATGTAGTAGTGATGTACTTGTGATTTGTACTTTCATCTTTTTTTTTTTTTTTTGTATGAGATGTTCTTTTTTGTACCACAAAAATTTAATAAACAAATAATTAAAAAAAATGTGGTGGCTGCATTAGTTTTCTTTTTTCATCTGCTAATTCAGCCAGTAAGTCTGTTATTTTCCAATGTTTTTTATGCTACATTCACACGGCCAAAAAAAAACACACACACAAGTGTTTTTCAATTATGGATATGAACACAGCTGCATTGTTTTCAGTGGAGCAATTCACAAAGGGACATAAACATGCACTGCATTCCGTTCCATACCGCAGAATACAAAAATCTGATCTTGGACACTAGCCTGCAGGTGTGACTCTAGCCATAGTTGTATGTGTCTGTAAGTCCCCAGTCCTTCCCACTTTGCCAACAGACATCATAAAGTGCATCATTCCCTTGCGGCTGGATCCTCGGAGGGTATATTTTACCAGCAAAGTTTCTTAATACATGTAAATACTTTAGATTTATTCCAAAGTGCTAGCAACCATTAAAGCCTAAAATACCAGTTTGCTTCTAACTAGAAATGCCAAGGAAGTTACGTTTGCTATAATCAGGGGCGGACTGACAACTCATGGGGCCCCCGGGCAATAGGGGATCATGGGGCCCCTGTGTCCTTGCCCAAACTCAAAAAAGCCTATGAAAAAGGTATCAGGGGCATGTCATGGGGCCCCCTACTGACCCCAGGCCCTCGGGCAGTGCCCGAGTTTCCAAATGGTCAGTCCGCCCCTGGCTATGATGTATGATTAGCTCTCCAAACTGCTTGCAAATCTTATTTTGTTGGTTCTTGCGTCTTTATTTTCAGATCCAAGATTAGCAGCTCTCCTCTACAACAGGGCATGGATATATGTGCTGAAAACAAGCGTCATTTAGAGCAATGTTCTCCAATGTGGGTGAATAGGTTAAAAAAACAGCAGGATGGATTAATAATTACCCACCGTGGAAAACAGTTTCTACATGTTGAGAGCATTCTCTGAAGACCTTGAACATAGGAACTCATCTGATGAACTGTTTGTTCCTTGAAGCTCATGGTAAATAGGTTGTTGTGTTGTTTCAGCTAACCTAAAGTTCATGATGTAAAGGATGTTTTTTACATTTTTATATAAACTAAAATAGCTCTAAGGCAATCTTCCATAAACATTTTAAAGTGAAATTCCACTAGAAAAAGAAAGAATGCTCCTCTAGGGCCAGCTTACAATAATTATGCAGGTTTTGCTTGTAAAGCGCTACCCCCTAAGGAGTCGCTGAATTTTGGGTCCCCCTATTTCCTGCATAGCCAGACAAAATGCATTTTTGGCAAACACACGTAGTCAAGAATCTAGTTTAGGGGTTTGTTCTTGCTGATTTATTTAGGGGAAAACAACTTGGATAGGGATTAGGGGTTATGGGATGCCCAATTTGACTAGAAAGAACAGTTTGAGAACAAACTTCTGTTTATGGAACCTGGACATTACTCCAGCCGGAGTGGTGTCAGTTCCCTTAAGGATCAGCAGCAGTGTTGCTTTAAGAAACACAAGGTCAATTTGTGTGAACTCTCACTAACTCCCAATACTTGGTGAGAAAATGCCAGCCCACCTGGCTGCTTTGGATACGTGTCCCAGAGCTAGGGATTAGGTTAGCTGTGACACTGGCCTCATGAAAGCATGTTGGATATTGCATCTGGCAGCTTTCTCCCTTACAGGCCCTGGGGGTGTAGAGGTACTCACACTGTCCCGTCTATCCTGCTGCTTTGGACAGTACTGCTTGTTCAGGGCTTTTGGCTGAGCTAGTCTTCCCATGCTGGGCAGGGTGCCTCCTGGATAGGACATGGATAAGTTCCCTCACTCTAGTTTCTTCTCCCTCCTTCCTTCCTCCTCAGCTCCATCCTGGAGGCAGAACCCCCTTCCCTGAGGTCCCCTCCCAGGCCTCACGGTCTTCAGAACTCCAGAAATCTTCTGCCATTCACCCTGCTGGCTAAACTCTTTCATATTTATGGGCCCATCTACCACACTGCCAGGCCTCCCTACCTGGGATTGGTTAGACTGCCATGAATATGCAGATCTTGGTCTCCACCCCTCCGCCCACTAGTTTCCAGAGGTTTCCATGGATCTCCAGAACCAGGGGGAGGCGATAGAGACCTGACCTGCAGAGTTCTTCAGTCTGACCTAAGCTTGACCCCCACAGATATGCTCACTGCCATTACATCTGTGAGCCAAGCTAAATTTACCTGTCTAGCATCACTAGAGGGTACTACACTTGCTTTTATTCTGTAGATAAAGAAACAAGCTACTGTAGTCACAGAGGCGTAGCTAGGATATTTTGCGCCTGGGGACGAACTATAAAATTGGCGCCCCAGCCCCCCTTCCCATTTAATCACATCAGTGACACCAATGATGGGGCACTATTCCTCCCACTGACACCAATGACACTTACCTTGCTGACCCCTGCTCCAGCCTAGGCTCCCTCCCTCTCCCATCCACAGCCAGTATACCTGGTTGCAGCAGCACCATCTGCACAGCACACTTACTGGTCAGCTGTCTTCTTCACTTGCTCCAGCCACTCCCTCACTCGATCTTCGCGCTGCCGCTTGGCTCCTCCTCTCCAAGCTCCACCTCCTCGCAGGTGATTGGCAGCCTGTGTGCCTTTCCTGAGCTACAGTTCTGGCGTCCAATCACCGGTGAGGAGGCGGAGCTTGCAGAGGGAGGTACAGGCTGCCATAGGCTGTCCAGTGATCCCGAGGGTGTGGCCAGATGACAGGGGTGGCATCTCATCCCGTCCACACAACGCGTCCAGGGAAAAGAAGACACTGGACCTGCAGACTTCTGTACCCCTCCTCCAGCAGTGCCTCCTGGACTGGATCGTCGTGGGACTAGGACACGGAGCCAGGTAAGACACAGCAGCCCGCTGCCCGCCCCTGTACTTAGTGTCCCTTCCATTGGAATTGGGGCACCGCGCCACCCCCCCCCCTAAAAAGTGCCGCCCTAGGCAAACGCCTTGTTTGCCTCACGGCAATTACGCCCCTGGTTGTAAGCCTCATTTTGGCACCCCTGTACCTTGGCACCCGGGTACATATGTAGTCATCTATCTTGTATGGACTAAGTGGTATGGTCCGCCTACTATAATTACATCAGTGCCAGCCTCAGAAAGACAGAAACCCTATATATCTGCATCCATGTGCAGTAACATTTGACAGTCTATATTAGAGATTTCATTTTCTTTACAACAAACCTAAGGACTGTGCTGGGAAAGCTTGTAGTCTTAGCTGTGCAGACTCTGAGAAAAGCGATGAGCCAGTCACATAAACAGGATTGCCATTAGGTCACCAATGTTGCCCCATTTCCACAGAAGAAACACTTAGTTTTGTTAGTTTTAGAAGACCATAGGTGGCTGCATGGCCAACTCACTCCCAATGCAGAGAAATACTTAAGATGGCCACAGATGGTTTGTTCTTTATCATTCGGCCACCTGGCTGAAAGCTAAAAAAAAAAAAAAGCTAAAAAAAAAAAAACAGATTCCTACTTCTACTTGGTTTGTGTGACCCCCCCCCCCCCAGGGGCATTGTATTCTGAAAGCTGGACTTGGCTGTCAGCCACTAATCGACTAAAGTCTTCCAACTTGTGCCTTCTATAGAAGTCGATTTAACAACTGACTTCTGTCAAACAGAGGGGGCCACACACTGACTGAAATTCGGCCAGGCCCCTGCTGAACTGACTAGCTTTAGGCCAGGCAATTTGCCTTATGTCCTGTTAGTTAAGTTCACACCAAGATTTTAAAGTAGGGCGCATTGCAAAAAGTAAAATAAATAATAAAAAAATCCCTACGCTATTAAATATCACAAAAGACAGAAGCTGCTACCACCTATGCATACAAAACACATAAAGAAACAATCAATCAGATAAAAGCGAAGCGCTCCACACTATAAACATGAAAGTAGATAAAAGACAACAAATTACAATAATGCGAGTAAAACTAAATCCTAAAAAAAGTCCACATGTGAAATGTGAAGGGGTTAAATAGTCCCATGTACGATCCAGTTTAAATCTTTAAGCAATCTTGATCTAGCAAATAATCTGGGAACTTCAGCAGTTCTTCAGTGTATACAAACGTGTGCAAAAAACCCTGGACAACAGTGACCACCACCATGCAGTGCAGATGGCTCCTCACGTGGCAACACCTCATTATTGAAAAGGACTTTAACCACTTCCAGACCGGACACTTTTACCCCCTTCCTGACCAGGGCAATTTTCAGCTTTCAGCGCTATCACACTTTGAATAACAATTGCGTGGTCATGCAACACTGTACCCAAATTAATTTTTTACCATTTTTTTGAGACAGATAAAGCTTTATTTTGGTGGTATTTATTCACCGCTGGGATTTTTATTTTTTTGCTATGTAAATGAAAATGTCCAAAAATTTTGAAAAAAGTGTTTTTTTTTATAACATTTTGCAAATAAATAATATTTCATCATAAATCTTGGCCAAAATTTATTCCGTTATCTTTTTAGTAAAACAAAAAAAATCCAAATTAGTTTATAACCAAAAATTATAATTTTTAAACATTTTTTAAAAAAAAAAAAAATTTTTTATATATTATTTATTTTTTTTTTTTCATACTGTCACCCTAGCATTACAGTGTCACCATGGTGACACTATACTACTTGTGGGGGGTGATGAAGATTTTATTTATTTTTTTTACACTGATTGCTTTTACACCCATATAGGATGTAAAAGCAATCATTTCTCTATCTCTCTGCATTCTTGCAGCCATTGGAGAAGTACTGAGTGAGTGTGATTGGTCACAGCTTGTCACATGGTACAAGGCTGTTGTGAATAGTCTTGTACCATTTGACCTCTGTGATCATTCAAAGATTTCACACGTAGTAAGCAATGATGTCACAAGTGACATCTTGCTTACTACTTTGCATGTGATCACTGATTGGCCAATCAGTGATCACATGATCGGGACCTCGTACAGAGGTCCCGTCCGCTGATCGGTGTTTCACTGTGTCCGGAGGACACAGCGGGCACCGGATGACGGTGCTGCGCGCTCCCAGGCAAAGCTGAGTGAGTACGGGGAGGCCATTTATAAATGGCCACCTGACCCTGCACTGCCACCGTCCGGCCGTTTATATAGAACGGCTGGTCGGGAAGTGGTTAATAAGTTCTTTTTAGTGCATCCAGCCAGTCAGCATGCAAATATCTACAGTCCTCAGCATGTATCGAACATGTACATCACAAAAAAGGGGGCTTCATAGTGTAATTGCTTGGTTTATTTAAAATGAAAGCTTAAAAACACACACAGGACAAAAAAAAAACACATTGCATATGTGGTAATTAGCACAGTATACTCTCACAAAGGCACATTAGACATTGGCAAGATGGCACCCAGTCCCCGTCCAATCACTCCACACTGACCACCGGTGTGGATGGGGACCGGGTGTCATCTTGCCGATGTCTAATGTGCCTTTGTGAGAGTATACTGTGCTTATTACCTCATATACAATGTGTTTTTTTTTTTATCTTGTGAGTGTTCTTTTTAGCTTTTTTAGTTTTTTCACATGTTCAATACATGCCGTGGACTGGAGAGCTGGAAACTATATCTGCATGCTGACTGGCTGGCAGTACTAAAAAACACTCATGGACCTC